CGACATCACTTTGTTTCGTATTGTTATGAGGAAATCTGCTAAGATTTTTTATTCTCGTAACTTCGCAGCGTTTCTGTCGACGGTCTAGGAGGACAAGTTCATGTTAAGACTAATTTTGTTTCTGACAACGGGCCCAAGGTTTATATCACGATACATCGACGTATAGACTGACCCCGCGGCAGCCGCCGCCCTCTTGCTCACCTGCAAGAAGCCGCAGTTGGCGCCCATCTCGACGTTCATCGTCACGTTGCCGAGCACGATCTGCGTCCGGCCGGACTTCCGCACGAGGAGCTTCCCGATGTAGCCCTCCGAGACGTCGTCAAGGCGACAGCCTCCCAGCGACTCCTGCGCCGGCGCCCCCTGGCTGCCGCCGGCGTCCTTTCCGGTGACGGCGTCGTCCCTCCCCGAGGGCAGGCCGGGGAGAAGGTCGGGTAGCTGCAGGAAGAGAAGCTGCGCATCTCCTGCAGGAGAGAGAGGAGAGGGGGAAGGTCACGCGGTTGTTCGGTCAAGCAGATTCGCCTTTGGGTGGAGAGGAGGAGGTCTAAACTCGGTTGTCACTTCAGGGGCGAGGGATGAGGGTGGGGGGAATGGGGTTCAAGTCCTGCCCACAACCACAACTTTAGCCTAGGGAACATCAGACCTGAGGAAGTCTATCGGAGAGATGGACAACAATTTCGTCAGTGTAAGTTATTTTTAACATAATTTGGATCTAACTGAGATACACTTTATTAGCATGTGAACTATAGAGATCCGATGAAATTATTCAATCGTCAATGTTATCGTTCTTCCTCACATTGGAATGACATTGACACGGCCCTCTAGTCGGTGACTGAGTACATCTGACCGGTGACTGCGTACTCTCTTTGGCATTGCCACGAAATTGGGTGAGCCTATTTGGAGAGTCGTCCTTACACCGAGTATTCACGGACATTTACTCGCTTCTTAAACTGAGACAGAAGCAGCGAGAGTCTCAGACCGCCATCCTTCAAGGTCGCGCTTAAGGTCAGGCCAACCTTCTCATCGTCTGCGATCACGTCTCATCGCTGTCGCCGTGGCGACGGGTCTTACCTAGCTTCGCCACGCCGTCGAATATGTCCTGGCAGGTGGTCTCCGGGGCGGGAACATTCCGGAAAGCCTTCTTCCCTAGATCCGGCTTGAGGGGGACGCGTTCCGGGCTCTGGGGTTCCGACTTAACTGCAGAAGAACGCGAGAAACAATTTGGTCAGATGCTGGGAGTCACGAAGATCGAGAGGATTGCCTTCCAGAAATTGTGCATTAAGGGGGAGGAAGCGAAAGATCGCGAGAGATAGAAAGTCTGATAGTTGACTGATATGTATATAGAGAGAAGGAGAGAAAGAGCGAGAGAGAGTGCAAGAGAGTGTGTGTGAGAGACGGAGAAACAAAAGAGCGGAATGACACGACAACGATGAGACGGCGACCTCACCTTTGACCCCTTCGACCTCCAGGATCATCTTGTGTGCTGGCGGCACGACCCTCACCTCCTCCTTCACGGCCGAAGCGGTCGTCAGCGGCAGCTGAACCGGGTTCAGACCTTCCTCGTTGCTGCCCACATCGTCGATAAACTGACGAGATAAAAAAGAGAGACAATGACTCCGCGATTCCCGCCCCCGATCGCAGCCCGCCTTGATCTTCTGAGCGAGAATTCCGAGCCCCTCCCTCGGACATTAGCTGCTTGGCTAGATCGGTCGCGGTGGACGAGAATTCACGTGTGTTTTTTTATTTATTTATTCAGGCACTCAAAAAAATGTCGCAGAAAACATTACTGCCGAGCTGCAAAGCCCGTCGCAAGGAAACCTCGCAAAAAAAAGCACCACGAATGTGGACGATTCTGCCGTGACTGGACCGCGACGGGGGTTCCACGAAAAATGTAAAATGTCATGCATGGGGGTCACGTCGCTGAAATCGCTACTAAGCCGTGAAGCCCCTGTCACAGAAAAACAAAGCAAACACTGATGTGGAGGCGCCACGATTCGGTCCCCCCTTGGACCAAAGATGGAAGATGACAATGTAAAATGGGCAGAAGGCAGAAAGGTTCGATATGATATGACTACTAGGCACTTTAATTAAATTTAATTTTTTTTTTAGGGTTAGGTTTTTTTTTTTTAAGTGCCTAGTAATCATATCCTAAGTGCCTAGTAGTCATATCATATCGCACCTATCTGCCGGGTGCGTAAAATGGCGCGCGCGGGGTCATGAGGGGTCGCGAGCGCGCGTACGTCGTCTCTGAGCAGGTCGAGGATGCGCTTGTCGTCGACGGTGCGAGCCTTCGCCGTCGCCTCGCGCTTGATCACCGGCTTCGGGATGTGATCCGACTCGGCCGACGTTCCCCACGACCCTGAAACACACACACACAGTGTCACACACACAGTGTAATGATAGTAATAATAACTAGACAGAGGGCACTCACGGAGAGTGCATA